ATCAAATTTTGAATTTTGTAGGTGAGTGGCAAAAATTTCCAAGGATTAACTGAGCATGGTGTTGCACACCTGTAATTTCAGCTACTCAGGAAGGCGAGTCAGGAGAATGGCAAGTTTAAAGCCAACCTGTGTAACTTAGTGAGAGCCTGCCTCCAAAAAAAAAAAAAAAAACTGTAAGAAGAACTCCCTTCCCTCCGGGTAGAGATTTTGTCTGGCCTGTGTGAGGACATGGGTTCACACAAAAAATTTGTAAGGATTATGGAATACCATGATTACTCAATGTAAACACCTAACTACATGAAAAAATATGAAGTTATCAGATATTCAAAACTGCCTTTTCCTTTTGACTGAGGGATTTTTATTTATACAGCTGAAACAGGCCCCTATAAGAGATGTTTTGTCTCCTTGACTACTCCCCAAAGATTATCAGAAAGGAATAAACTATCTGGATGTTTTGACAGGCCCTACTTTGATTATGAGAATGATTCTTGTACATGATACTCTTAAATAATAACTTTGATGGCTTATGYGACTGCAAACAATATTATTTTTTTTAAAGTTGTCTAAAGAACTGTTGAACAATATAAGAATCTAGAGTATGAGAGCTGTTACAGAAGTTCTTAAAATTTCTTTCTATGATATGAATGCCTGAATAGGTTTGATTATACAACCTAGTGAGTTCAAGAAAACCTAGGATAATAAAATATAATAATAACCTATAATTTAAATATCTTGTATGAAATATTTCACTACTGTGGTTAAAATGTCTAACATATAAAGATTTTCTAATGTAGCGCAAATGGGAGAACTAAACAGTGGAATATCTATAAGACCAAATAAGTTTTTTGACTTAAAATTCCCCTATAATTTCTTTAGTTCTTTACTTGTTCCTTTGCTGTCAAAATCCTAATCTATTTTATTTAATAAGATGCAAATCATTTTGTACTCCTCTGGTTCAATAAACTTTAAAGTTGCATGTCCTATGAGTTCTGTAAAAGTCCAAATCAGCTGCCCCCAACTTTATTATCTTCCGTGTGACCCTCCCTTTCCTTTTTATAGCCCCTAGCATTTCCGTTTCTGTATCCTGAGGTATCTCATGAAGCAATATACAGACTTCATCTTATTGTAAGTCATAAAACAGTGGCCGAGTCTTAATTAGTGACTATTTTTTCTTGTCATCTTATTCCTGCCACTAAAAACCCCTCTGAAATTATTTCCAAGAATTCTCATCTTACATTTTGCCCATCTGAGTTTGAGTGGTGATTTTCTTGAACTATCAAGGAAGTTGTTCTTTTTCATTTCTAGTATTTTCTTTTTTGAGTCAGGGCTTGCTATTTTGCCTAGCTGGCCTCCAAATTCTGGGCTTAAGCATTTCTTTTGCCTCACCTCTAAGTAGCTAGGACAACAGGCATATATTACCCTGTCCAGCCACATTTCTAGCATTTTATAATTACACAAAACACAAATGGATTTATAAAAACATTTCTATGCATTTCTGACATATTTAAAATGAGAACATTGGTGTTTCCTCAAGGAATATATCAAATTTTACAACAAAGCTTAAAATGACAGAGGTAAAAGTGGCTATACTGGAAAGTATAGACCCTACTTGATAGAGTCAATTAGAGAGGTACCTTGTGTTACCTCTTCTTGGAACAACTTGGAAATGCAATTTAGGGCCCTGGAGAATCCGGGCAATTCCCATATTCTATATTCCAAATCTTCAGGTGTTTTAGGAGAGAAATAAAGGGATAAAGACAGCCAGGARAAAAGAAAAAGGAGGGGAAGAACAGGGAACTCTTGCTTTACTTGTAACTGCAGTTCTCAGTTAAACCCGTATTATGACATCAGCAGTAACCTATATGGTCCTTAAATTGCTGGGTGGAAGGAACTAACCTCAGTCTCCCAAGTTGCTGGGATTATAGGTATGTGCCACCATGCCTGGCTAAGTTACAAATTCTTATGAGAGTGTAAGAAGAGCACATCAGATCACTCACCAGGGGCCTGTTGTCCTCAGTTAATCTCCCAAACTGGCTCACTAGATAAATATCTTCTGTCTTTGGAGAGATCTCCTTGGACTCCCTTTTGGTGGCAGGACTGGCTTAGCTAGATCCTCTGAGGCCTACAAAGCATTTCCAGGTCCCAGTAGGGAGGCTGTGCTTCCAAATTCACTTTTCAGGTTGTTGGTAGCATTTAGTTCCTTGTGGGATGTTGGTTAGAAGCATCCCTGAACTCTTGCTGTATAGACAGTTTCCATGATGGCAGATGGCATCCTTCAGAGTGAGAGTGAGGAATCCAGAGAGAAGCTGCTATTTCTACAACCTGATATCAGAAGTGACATCTCATCACCTCTACTGCACTCTGCTCATGAGAAGTTGGTCACTAAGCCCCACATAGACTCAAAGGGCAGACCACCAGGAGGCGGAATTTCTGGGTGAGATTATCTCAGAAGCTGCCTACCCCATGCAAAATATACTCACCCCTTTCCCAGATACTTCAGAGTCTTGCTGCATTACCACATCAACTCAAAGTCCAGAATCTCATTACTGAAAGGAGGTCAGTGTATCTGAGGCTACTCAGATGTAGTTTTAAAAATACAACCCTAAGATCACAGTTCCTTTCCATCCATAGACCCATGAAGTTAAAGAGGAAGTTATTGCTCTCCATTCCCAGCACAGAATGATGGATAGGCATAGGATAATTGCCATAGATACTATTGTTCACAAAGTGGGCATGTGGTAGACACCAAAGAGTCACTAAGTCCAGCCCATACTCAGGGGAAGGAATTATGTAAAGGCCTGAAAACCAGGAGGGAATCCCTGGGGACTATTTTAAAGGCTGCCTCACTCACTGCTGTCCTTTTATTTAATTTTAATAATAAAAGGAGTATAACTTTAGAAAACTATTTTATGAAGTTTAAGTTGTAGCTGCTTTTTAAATATATATAGCATTGCTGTAAGTCTGTATCACAAATTTTTCTTTGGATTAGGATAAAAATTATTTCTGATTATAATACTGGAGGAAGTTGCTTAAAAATTCTATTTCCTTTTATTATGGCTAGAGATCTTATCATTGACTTTTAATTTTCCCCAAATTTTCAAAATGTTTTTTTAAGTTTAATATATCTGTTATGGATATATATATATATATATATTTTTTTTTTCCTCTAGTTGGATTCTCTATTTCATCTTTATCAATGTACCTTGAATTTGCTTAAAATTCAAATTATGTTCCTTGGTGAAACATCAGTCTCTACTTTGAATATAGGAGCTGTTCTAGTTACTTTTTGCATCATTGACTGAACTAGAGAAATAACTCCCATTTCCTTTCTCTATGCTGCTTTCTGAAGTGTTGGTAGGATACTCTTTCTTCTCCCCCTCTGCTTCTTTCTTTTTGTATCAGTCTAGTACAGTGGTTTTCAGCCAAGGACAGTTTTTTGCTTTCCCAGGAGAAATTAGGCAGTATCTGGACACATTTTGGTTTTAAACTTGGGTGTGATATTGGCATTTAGTGAATGGAGGCTGGGGTGCTGTTAAACATTCTGTAATACACAGGACAAGCCTGCAGGTTAAAGAAGTATCTGATTTAGGGATCAGGGATATAGCTCAGTGGTAGAGTGCCTGCCTAGTATATGTGAGGCCTGTGAGGCCCATGTYCAATCTTCAGTACTGGGGGAAATAATAATTATCTGGTTTAGAATGTCAATAGCAGGAAGGCTGGGAAACTCTGCTCTAAAAACAAATCAGTTTTTCCTCCCACTTTAAACATGAAGACATTACAAAGTTGTTTTAGTCTTAGCTATTATATAAACTGACTTTTCCCCCTAATCACACATTTCCTTAAAATAACAAAAATGTGGAGCTGTGAATACAAACCAGCAACTTAAGGCAAACTAGCTTCTAATTCAATTACTTAACCACTGAGTAACAGAGTCTGAGATAAAGGGAATTGAGAAAAGTGAAATTTCACTAAATGTGCAGTTTTAACACTTTTTTTGGGGGGCGGGTACCAGAGATTGAACTCAGGGGCACTCAACCACTGAGCCACATCCCTGGCCCTATTTTGTATTTTATTTAGAGACAGCATCTCACTGAATTGCTTAGTGCCTAGCTTTTTGTTGAGGCTGGCTTTGAACTCTTGATCCTTCTGCCTCAGCCTCCTAAGCCACTGGGATTTACAGGCATGTGCCACTGCACCTGGCCTAACACTTCTTTTGAATGAGTTACATGGACTGGACGCTTTATGATATTTTATAATTTAATTTTATATTTTAAACATATGCAATTGCTATTCATTGTAAAATATTTATAATAAGTACACACAAACTATAGCAAAGATTAGGAATTTTTTTTTAAATTTCTGTATGTTCTTAGAATGATGTCAAAACAATAATAATAAAAATTTGGAACAATGTACAGTAGTCCCTGTGGAATCCCTAAGATTACTACAACATCTCTAATAATGCTTAAGATTGTTATTATTCTGTGACATTTCTAATCAAGAATCATACCTTAAGTAAGTATGTCTATAATTTTATGAGTCATTTGTCTATATATACAGAACAGGCCTTTAGAGAACAATCCACTCACTATTTTTCTTTTTTGCTTGGAAATTTTTTTTGTTTTTTTTTTAATATTTTAAAAAATGTTTTATTTGTTTTAATTAGTTACACATGACAGTACAATGACCTTGATATCATACATTTGAATCAGATGGGATATAATTTCTCATTTTTCTGAGTGTACAGGTTGCAGAATCATATTGGTCATGCAGTCACATATATACACACAGCAATAATAATGTCTATTTTATTCTGCTGTCCTTCCTTTCCCCCCTTCCCCTCCCCTCCCCTCCCATCATTTCTCTCTACCCAATCGAATATGACACAATTCTTTTTTTTTTCTCACATCGTCATACATGTATTTTTATAACYATGAGGGTCTCCTTCCATCTTCCATGCAATTCCCTTTCCCCTCCCTTTCCCTCCCACCTCTCTTCCCTATCTGGAGGTAATTTTCTTCTCATGCTCTTCCTCCATACCCCATTTGAGTCACCCCCCCCCTTATAACAGAGAAGACATTTGTTTTTTKGGGATTTTTCTTAATTGACATCTGATAAGTTTATTTGTCTCATATTTTAAATATGTGATTCTCTTATATCAGTTTTTATCTTCGATGACATATGAAAGATCTAAAATCAAATTGGCTGTCTCTACAGCCACCTGTAGGCCACTAAGCTTAGCAGTCAAACAGTCCAGAGTCAGATTGCTAGCTGGGCCCACAGTTTCATGTGGAAGGCAGGATTGTGGTGCAAAAGGATGGCATGAGCTTTGTAAGAAAGACCAGCTGAGTTCTTCCTGGCTACTGTATAATCCACAACCACATCGTGAAAGTAAATCCGGCCAGTTGACAACAGAGGGACAATCTCCCTGAACTGACCAAAAGTGTCCATACTTTATATCAGTGACAATTTCACCTCCATCATGTTCTAAAGAGCCAGCAAGAGACAGGAGAGCACTGCAAAATGCTTCAGCAACTAGTTGAAGTTCTGCTTGAGTACACCCATCATCTGTGAGAATGCTTTCTGGTTCATTACGAGCCTAAAGAGTAATAAACCATTGAGAACACATACAGGGTGATTAATATAAAAATATTTCAGAAAAATAAGATACTTTGATCAAAGTCTTATTCATAAAGTTACTATGTACCTTCATTTACTACAAGATTTGACGACAATTCTAATGGGCTTGTGTGAGTCAGCTGGCCAGGCTTGGATCCCTTAACCTGATTGGTCATAGCAAAATTGTACACTCCCTGTCCTGTTACTACAATAAATGTATAAGAATAACCCCACCAGCAGCTTATTCTGAATGATTGCCTTGAAGTAATATATAAAAGTCAAGGCATATACATGTTTTACATTTGTTTTTATGCACTCAGGAAAGTTCCTGAAGACTAATGTCCCAAATGAAGTACTGATCATATCATCAGAATGTTTGAGATTTGCTTAAAATGAGAATGCACATAATACTAAGACATCATTTTGGGAACGGACAATTTTCACATCAATTTTTCTTAAAAGGTAATAAGATTTAATCAGCTTTTTGGTTTCACTATTCTGAAAATATTATTGTAGAAATTTCTTAAGACAGAAAAATAATAGTGAACTGAATAATGATTTAAAAAGTCCATATATCCTTACTACTAAAAAACAGTGACCACTTCTTTTTTTGGAACATATTTCCCCCATATCCCCAGAACTTTAACGATACTTACTTCCTCCAAAACACTTTGTCCAGTTTACTCAGTTCCATTTGCAGATTAAATTATTGTCCACTCAGAATCACTAATTGGCATGGATTTTGTTTTTTTATAATGTACATTTTGATAACTTTTCATGAATTGGCTTTATCTTCAAATAGATTTTAAGTTACTAGGGGAAGTAGGGAAGGGCATGCTTTGAAGAAAAGTCTACTCTCTTTCCAACTCTAGTCACTCACTGGAAGYTCTGCAGAACATCTCAGTGATTCTGGTTGATGCAGTCAATCAACTGTCAATATCTGGAGACCACATTGTTTTGGTTTAGGTGTCCCTCAAAAGTTCATRTGTGAAACAATGAAAAAAGGGCGAGAAGGTTTACAGGTGAAATGACTGAGTTCTAGTTAGTGCRTTAATTCACTGATATGAATTAATGGGGTGGTAACTGTAGGCAGGTAGGGTGTGGCTGAAGGATGTTGATCACTGGGGGCTTGCCTTTGGTGTTTATATTTTGTCTCTGGTGAGTGAAGCTCTCTCTGCTTCCGGACTGCCATGTCCTGAGCTGCCTTCCTCCAGGATAGGGAATGTACAATTTTGCTATGACCAATCAGGTTAAGGGATCCAAGCCTGGCCAGCTGACTCACACAAGCCCTTCCAACACAGTGTTTGCCTTAATCTTGGGCCCTGAGCTACGATGCCAGCCGTCTAAGGATTTAGACCTCTGAAACCATGAATGTCAAAATAAAMATTTCCTCCTCTRCATTGTTCTTGTTGGATGTTTTGGTCACAGCAACGAAAAAGCTGATTAAAACATAGGTATACCTTTTTGTATTCATCTTTAAATAAAGTAGGATAGGACATATAAAATAATTATTCAGAACTATGTTACACTAAACTTATCTGTCAACTGTCAGGAAATGGAGTTTCCTAGACCAATAAAAAATTCACATAGTAGAATTAATACACACCATATAGAAACCAAAATAAAAACTATAATAAAATATAATATCTGAAATGCTTTAATAAATAAAATCAAGTTTTTTCTTTGATGCCCCAGAAGTATTTTTGTGGAATCTCAGCCATTTAGCTGTTAACATKAATTAGTGTTGAATTTTGGTAGTTAAGATCTTTAATATTAGAAGTCTCCAAAACAGAATGCTATTTCAACATGTAGTCCATGTAAACAATACTCAAAGAATGGGGTAATTTGTTAAAGAATTAGATTTGCAATAATCATTGCAATAAAGATCTTACTTCATATTTATAAGTGTTATTTTCCTCAAGGGTTCTCAAACATAATATCTAAGTTAGGCTACTGAATAATTAAGCACGAATGGTTTTAGGGTATTATGATTTGGCTTATCATCTCATAGAACACAAGTTGCTGAGAATTCGGTAATTTAAAAAGGGCTATTAATCTTACCTTGTATCTAATAAATGCAGCCAAATGAGTTTCTGTACAGCCACCTCCCAACAAAGCCCATGGTTCCTTGATTGTTAACTGCAAGACATGCAGTGCTGCTTGACATGTGAGCTAAAAAAGAATCAAATCTGAATCAGACACTCACAGCAGAACCATGAAGAAATACAACCATGCTCTAATATAACATACATCATGGACTAACAAGAGTCCGATTTCAATTGACAATGAAATCTGCTTGGTCAAAGTTGTAATGTGATGAATATATTTTTGGATAATAAAGATTTGAGATTGAAGAAAGTTACTTTAGCCAGAAGTCTGTTTTCATCAATATTTTTTATTAGATCAATATACTGTTAGATCAATATTTTTTCATATATATTGAGCTCTTTAAATTAGGATTCATAAATATAGGGATTCAAAACATCTGGGTCAGCAAGACTGGTGGGTACTTAAAACATACAGACTTTGATTCACCAAGGATATATCCTTGACAGTACATGAATCTTTATAAACTTGTAATTGATATCAGAGWTTATCACTTCCCTTAAAAGTTGCATGTGTATTGTTGGCAGAGAACAATAAACTCTACTAAGAGGTGGATGATAGGTATTGACTTAGAAACTCACTTTTGAAGTGAATTATTCATATATGTTCACATCAAAGAGTACACAATTCAAATTAATTTCTTAAAGAAAATAAATTCAGGGCTGGGGATGCAGCCCAATGGTAGAGTGCTCCCTCGATTCAATTCTCACCATCATATTAAAAAAAAAAAAAAAAAAGAAAGAAAGAAAGAGAAAGAAAGGAAGAAAAAGAAAATTTCCTATCAATGACTTCTTAGATTTCTTGTAAATAGCAGAAATAAGGAATGGCAACCTGGGTTAAGTCTACCATAATACTGCAATTAAATTAGCTTACTTGTAACTTTTTTTTAATACACAGCACATATTTAACAACTGAGCTTCACAATCAGCCCCCCATTTCTGTCATTTTTGTTCTTGCYTTGTATACCCTGCTGAAGTTATGGAAGAGGGGAAAATTAAAAAGCATGGCTCACTAATGTCAAAAAAACTATTTGAGAACCTGTTGACTGACTATTTCATCCCTGCCTCAGCCCTTGGATATGAAATTCAAAGTTATTACTTACCTTCAGCTCATCCCAGGCAGTGTCATTTCTGTTGCAGAGAAGCAAGCTGCAGATAGTTGCTTCATTAGGAATAAGATGAAAAAAATGCTTGGAGCCAAATTTTGCAGTGCACAATTCTTTCACAATTCCATAACTACTAGGAGATATGGAGCCTATGGAACCAATAGGTTGTGTTCCTGTATTTTTTTTAAAGAATAGAAAACAAAATGTCTAAGCAAAGGTGGAGCAAATAACCATTTAAAATTAATAAATGTAAATAAATTAACTCTTATTCCTAGCCAATGTAAAAATTCCACAAAAGCTTATCATTCAAAATATTAAATTTGAGATAAAGTAATAAAATGCATCTTCTTAAACCTCTGAAATTAGTAATCTATTCAAATGACATGCAAATAAAGCAAAGGTTCTTTTGGTTTACTCACTTCTTTGAACATTTGTTAGAATTTATTTTGTGCTCTTGCCAGAGACAGGCACACAAAATTTTGCATACATTTTTAAAAGCCCAAGAACCTTGAAACCCCATTCAGAGATCACCAAAGGGAGAGAGAAGGGAAATTGCATGGAAATGGAAGGAGACCCTCATTGTTATACAAAATTATATATAAGAGGAAGTGAGGGGAAAGGGGAAAAAAACAAGGGAGAGAAATGAATTACAGTAGATGGGGTAGAGAGAGAAGATGGAGGGGAATGGAGGGGAGGGAGGATAGTAGAGGATAGGAAAGGCAACAGAATACAACAGACACTAGTATGGCAATATGTAAAAATGTGTATGTGTAACCGATGTGATTCTGCAATCTATATACGAGGTAAAAATGGGAGTTCATAACCCATTTGAATCAAATGTATGAAATATGATATGTCAAGAACTATGTAATGTTTTGAACAACTAATAATAATAATAAAAAAAGAACTCACTAATCTGGAATAAGAGTGATATGAATGGTTTTTAAAGGCATTACATCTCAATTTTAAACGAATTAAACTATCCAAATAGTTCTGAAATTGAATTCCTTTGGGTATCTATTTAGGGAACATATAGGATTTTTATTTTGGCATAGTAACTATTTTTATGTAAATAGCTCCTTAAATTATGCTAAAATGTAACTTATTYCAATTTGTTGTTCTTAAGTATTTTATCCTTCCAACTGCATAGGCAATCAGTAAAATTTTTACAAATTGCAAATAGAAATAAGGTTATTAAGGGAGAAGTATGTACTGAATGTTTGCAAAATCTCCAGATGTAATTAAATTTATATAAGAAAACTAGACCAAGCTTCTATAAAAAAAAAATTCCAGTTTAACATTTGAATATTATACTGCTCCCTGAGCAATTTACCCCCTTAGGTCAACTTTCTTAAACTGATGGTATTAAATGTTTAAAGCCATGTTCTAGGTACATGTGAGTTAAAAAACAACAGTGAACTAGTGTGGAAACTGAGTCTCCATGTATAATATTGTGGAAATATGGGAAAATGTCCCATACTTTAAACACTGAATAAGCCAGAACAGCCCATATTCATAAGCTGTAAACTGCCAGATCATGGACAGTTGGTAGATACTTAAGGATACGAGTCTGACCTACAACATCAGCAATTAGTTCCAAAGAATTATTTCCATTTATTCTCAATAATTTTTCACTTTGATGATCATATGACAGTTTTACAAAGGTAAATAACAGAGATATATTTAATGCTTGGCATACATACTGCTTTTTGACTATCTGTAACAAGACTACAGTGAACTTTAACAATGCTTTAGTAACTTAAAAATTGCAGACTGGGCACAGTGGTGCACACCTGTAGTCCMAGCTATATGGGAGGCTGAGTTGGATCACTTGAGCCCAGAGGTTTGAGATGAGCAATGGGGAACACAGTAAGACCTCCACCTCCAAAAAGAATTGCAATCAATGCAGAACTAAATGATTGTCTGATAGGATGTCAATGCAATACTGAAACAAGTGGCATGAATCAGGAGCTCTTCAGCTTATTTTTCTTTGGCTCTAACAGGTGAATATGAACCTTGTATACTAGTGCTTTTAATTTGATCAATTTTTGAGATTCAATGACTCTTCTGCCCACTATAATTCTTTACCTAATTAGTGGTAACATATATTACCAYCAGTTCAGCAAACATTCTGGAGCACCTGCTATGGACTAGGCCTGCTATAGTGTTCAGAGTAAATGACCTTGGTTCTCAAGAGCTCAACTGGAAAAATTGATACTTAAAGATAAAACATACATGTGTGTGTACACACATGCACCCTTCCTGCACCCAGTTTGGAACAACTATTTGGGCAGAAGTACAGAAATCCATTCACATTATAATAAAAGTGAAGAAAAGGTGGTATCCCAGTTATAAAATTACCCTCTGAGTGTAACATGATTTAAAAGCTTTGCAAGTTTTAAGTAGTATAAAAATTTTGGGTAAAGTATGAAAGACCTTATGATGATGTCAAATTTCTCAATTATCTGTAGAATATTGGGGGGTTAGATTATAAAAGACTCTGCAGTATACTTTTGGGTTGAAAATACACAGAAAATGGCCACAGCAGCTCCATGTTTATTAAGTGAACAACAGGACAACCTTTGCTGTCAGAAATGATACCCACAACATGCTGTGAGGTTGGCAGCTTCTACAATTTTTCAAGATGTTAACAGTGTCACAAACCAATAAACTCTCTGTTCAAACAAATGATTTATTAACTCTAAGGGGCAAAAGTCAAGAGTGCTTTTTACCTGTCACTTTGCTCAGGGGTTCCATCAAAGCCACTCCAACTCTGTCTATGGCAATAACGTGATGTATACTGAGGAACTGTTTCAAAGATGGGTGTATAACCTTTTGRCACAGGACAAGATCTACGTGGTCACTAATAAGTTGCCTTCCTAGGTTAAGCAACTGGTCCAGGGCTGCATTTTCAAGAGACATCCTGTAACTGACCACCAGGGTTCCCTCTCCAGTGTCAGAAAAGTCTCCAGATAAAGACGTACAAAAGAGTGCCACCTTAAGGGCACTTGATTTTTTGATAGGTAACATCCTCATTAATTGAACTTCAGACATTTCAATAAGTATTCCAGGTAATACAGTAGAATCTGTAACTTTCTGACCTTTTAGTGGTACAATTATACTCTTTCCTAAAATGATATGGTCTTCTGTGTTTTCTGGAATTGTAAGCAAGAAGGCTCTCAGGATCAAAGCACTGATGTGATCTACTTCCTTTCTGATGAGCATGCAGGCAGGCTTACTCCTTAAAATACTGCGAACCAAACAAAGGAGGATCTGAGTACTACTAAAGTCAACTGAGATTCGACAACCACAGGCCTCTGACTTGAGATAATTGGTGCAGAGACTCAAAAGATGTTTATTTAATTTAATGACAGTGGTGGGTGTCAAATCTGTTTTTTGGGCATTTTCAATCAGGTTGCAGCAAAGAATGGCTGTAAATAAGCCACAGTCACTGAAGCAGGACACATGATTCTGCACAGAAGTTGTCAGGATCTTTAATGTGGGATGGGTGACTGACAGGTTACTGAGCAGGGCTGAGGACTGTGATGTTGTGCACACATAACCTCCCAGGCCATTGTGCAGCTGCTTCAGCCTACCTGAAGGGCCGTAGCATGATGTTAAGACTCCTTTTAGGACAGAGAGTGTGGCTCTGACTGTATCACTTGTAAGTGGTTCACTTTTGCACAATGAGGGTTTCTTAGCTTCTAAACGAGACATATTACTTCAGTTGTAACTTGTGATGACAGTTTTTATTTTATTAACCATATTTTTCTGTTTACTGCATTGTCATGTGTATTAACATTAAAAATATATTCTTTAGAAATGAAGGTCTGAATATGCAGCAATATGGCTATTAAATAGTTTTGTTTCTGAAGATTATCAGAATATGATTTAGTGACATATCATTAACTGCAAACATTTATTTCAATTCATTCTTCAATACTCTTTTGTTTGCCTACAGACTGAGATTTTACGGACTGTTTTGCAGCCCTTTGYATAAAGTATGTTCCAAGGTGGACACCTATGAAAGACACCCCAGCTACAAGAAGCCAGTTCTTTCTAATCCAACTGGTGCTTTTCATTTCTTCTTTTGATATCAAGCTCTGATTCAAAGCTGCTTCTTTCTGTAAGAAATAAAAATACAACATTTTAGAGAAATAATTCTACATTTTATAGACTGCAATTTAATAATTTATTTTAATGCTCTGCTCCTTTTATATATATATAAAGGAACTCAAACTGTCACAAGCCTCCAGAATATGAGAGAGTAAACCAACTAAGACTTAATATTTCTTTACTGTTCAATGAATCTCTCCCATAAGAAAAAGTACTTTGGGCTGGGGTTGTGGCTCAGTGGTAGAGCGCTTGCCTAGCATGTGCGAGGCCCTGGGTTTGATCCGCAGCACCACATAAAAATAATAAATAAAGATACTGTGTCCAACTAAAAAATAAATTAAGAAAAAAGTACCTACATTTCATTGACTTGGGAATAATACAGCTAGGAAGGCTAGAGTACAATAATTTGAATAGGGCACACTTCTAGAGAGACATGTACTATTATAAAATCAGGAATCTGGTTTCTGAGTCTTAGTGTCAAATATTTTTTAATCTTTTACAGGAAGATTTAACATTGTTTTTATAACTTTTCTCTGCTTTGGGGTCTGAAAAAAAATGAATTTATATCAAATTGTGCTTGTAAATAATTATGAAAACAAGATAAGTGTTGTACTAATAYATAATGTACATTTAGCTGAACCAATCTGTACAACACACTATATCAATGTACATATCATATCTTAAATATTGGCTAAAATCAGAGCTGATTTTTAAAAAAATATCTGTATCTTTAGTTGTAGTTGGACACAATACCATTATTTTATTTTTATGTGGTGCTGAGGATCGAACCCAGAGCCTCACAYGTGCTATGCGAGTGCTCTACTGAGCCACAACCCCAGCCCCCAGAGCTGATTTTTTTTTTTATAGATACACTCTACCAATCACTGATTTTCAGTTTTTGATGTTCTAACCAACTAATTATTACAAAAATGCTGGCTAATGACAATAAATACAAAAACTAAGGAACAGGCAAAGTAACAAAGAGAAAAAGTAGGATCTGATTTACAACTTTTATCTCAAAAAGTCTACATACCATAAAGTGTTATCATATACCAAGTGGACAAGAAGAAATACAGTAATAGATGCCCTAAGAAGGTGATAAATAGTGTACTTGAGAGATAAAATCCTGACACCTTAATCACAATGTGTGAGAACAACAAAAATCTCAGMTCACAAGCCTTAACCTTTCGAGGACTAGTGTTTTGAAGGCTTAGACTATAATTAGTTATTTTCCGAAATACACAAAATATGCAGCTTTGTGAAGAGTATTCACCATTAATAAAACTAACTACTCATCCCAAAGTATTTCTTAAGGTAGATTATGGCACAGTATGGTGATRTAGACCAAAATGGTGATCTGAGGACATGCAAAGAGGTGAGGAGAAGAGGGAATGTTATGCAAACTGCTATTTTGGTTACTGCTCTCAATTTAGTTAAAGGGCTGTAACCATGGCAACGGGGCTCAAATAAAGAAGGCAACTATCGCCAGCCTTATTCCTAACCTAAAGGAACTTTTAAAAAAAAAATAGCATCAGGAAGGAAAAAAAAAAAATTTTGTATTTTATGCCAGGAACAGTCAAGATATCGAAGTATAATTTCAGATTCAGTAAAATCTGAGAAACACACTTAATGAAACCTTAGGTATATATGGTAATTTGCACGTTTTAAAATTTATACATATATAAACAATAATACAAACTTTGATTAATAAAATAATTTTTCTAGTTAGAAAAGCTTTTCAATGTATARCACCACATTATTTTTCAAAGTAGGATGCCACATTGGCAACTTTAACAGTCCTAAGGTAACATGACCAGTAATCATGTCTCATGGCGACTAGTATCTGTACAAACTGAAAAGGGAAGAAATCACTGAAAGTGTTGGTGACACCCAAATCATTTTGAAGAGGTAAAAACTTACTTATTCATGGTCACTCGTTTAGACCTCAACAAATTAACGTATAAGAAAAAGAAATGAAACAAAATATTGGGGCTGATTTGGAGAATATGTTTGGAGGTGTCAGTTCAGCCCTATTAAAACTTTTTTTTGGGTGATACTGGGGACTGGTCATTCTATCACTGAGCTACATCCCCAGCCTTTTTTATTTTGAGACAGGGTCTTACTAAATTGCTGAGGCTGGCCTCGAACTTGAGATCCTCCCGTCTCAACCATGTGAACAGCTGGGATTACAGGTGTGTACCATCACGCCTGGCTAAGAATCTCTTATGTGACCCATAATTCTAAATTACCATCAGAGGCATGGTTCTGATTGTTCCTAAATGCACAGGGCTGGCAGATGATTTTTTTAATTGTTTTTCAACAATGGATACTTAGCTAAAATAACAGTAAAACTTACATGACTGCTTCCCAAATTAAGAGATAATATACCATATATAATATACCCAATATGATTTAAAGAAATAAAMACAGGTAAAAAGTTTCTCCTAAAAGGATTTAGGGTTCTTTAGAAAAATGGCTGATTTTAGGTCTGAAGCAAGAAATGCACAAATTGAACTACTACAAGTTTTCTGTCAAAAACTAAGGATGTTATCAAAGACTCCCTGGGTTATATCAAAAGGTCACAGGGAAAAATAAGTTGTAGGAGTCAACTTGGACAGAATCCAAGATGGGACAATTTGAGCACTAAACAAAATGGTGGCTGTAATGGATTGAGATAAGTGAAATATATGTAAACTCACAAATTCACACTGACATCAAAAACAAAATCCCTAAGCTACTAGAGCACTAAGTCATTATTTTAAAACCAATAAAGGGAAAAAGAGCATTTATTTTTGTCTTTTCTGTATAAATGTATGTTGAGGTAACCAAATAGTTGAGAGGAAGTTGTTTTACCTAATAAATTACAGAAGGAATGATAAAGAATTTGATACCCCAATGAAATAATGAATTATGTCATCACACTGGCTGGTTAATTAAGYCCAAGAATCACAGGCAGCCTGCTGCCTGTTTTTGTAAATAAAGTTTTATTAGAATGCAAATAAGGCTTATCACACATTGTATATAAATTATTTTATATGCTACAACAGAAAGTTGAATAGTTGGAACAGAGATTATATGGTTTGCAAGACAAACTATTTGGTCATTTTACAGAAAAGTATATCAATTCCAAGATTAGTGCAGTGATCACCAAGAGATGTTAATAATTTATTAAGTAAGGGACTAATGAAGAACTTTATAATGGAGAGATTAGACTGATAACTTACTTATTAATGTTAGCAACGTCAAAATTGGGCCAGACGTTATATGTGAAACAACATTAATACCTAGGAGATATATCCTATCCATGGAGTCTTCTTATTTTTAAAAAATTAGGCCAATTTCAAGTAAACCTTTTGATTTAACTTCCAGATTACAGAAAATCAGGGGAGAGAGGAATTCGTTAAATGACAAAACAAACAAACAAACAAAAAAACGTGCAACTGACCAAATTCAGAATGTTTTTWAAAAAGTAGACCAGCAGGGGATATTTAATAGTTTTGAAAGAGATATTAKTTATCAAATGCAGTATATGTGGATTTTGTTTGGATATGAATTCCAATATATTTTTAAAGACAAATACATAAATATAAACATGGCTCTGGGTATCAAGTTAAAGTAAGGAATTACTGACAATTTTCTCAGTGTGATAATGCAAATGTGGTTGTATGTTTATCCATGTGTTTGCTATTACTGTTAAAGGATGTATCCTGAAGAGCTACACAGTGGTGCTTGGGAGTTGCTATAAAATATTTTAGCAATTAAAAAAACTGAAAGGATGAATAAAAGATTGGCAAAATGCAGGAAAGTGTCAGAGATGGGTGATGGCCACTTGAGGGTTCAGTATTCTATCTTTTATTTTTAGGTCTGTTTATAATTTTCTATAATAAAAGTAAAAATAAAAAGGGAAAAAATATAGCATATTCTTTTGATGTACTTCAAAAACTATTTGGAATCAAGTGTTTAATCCACTCTAAAATCTGGTTTTAACTTTTGCTTACTCAAAGCCTGTTTAAATATCTGCTTCCATTTGCCTGACCAGTGGTATTCACTTCTAAGACTATCTTAACCATTGCTGCATTGACATTTAAAGCTTTTACTGTATTCGCCTAATCTTTTAAAGGAGATAACTTCTTTTTTCAACTTTATTTCTCCTCCAAAAATACCTTAACTCATATTCCTCATATTTCTTTTTGCACAAGGAACTCCCCCTCGCAATGTTTGACTATACTTATGCTCTTATGATGTGAGTTACAGGGAAAAACATCAACTACAATATACATACACTAYCATGTTCTCATGACCTTATACATAAAAATGAAGCATCTAATAAATGCTGTAACTCTCTGCTCATATCCTTTAAAATTCCTCCTACAAAAGGAAAATTTTACAAGGAATATCTGAGGGGTTATTCTCTTAAGTTCACTTTTTTTTTTTTTTTTAGAGAGAGTGAGAGAGGAGAGTGAGAGGGGAGAGAGAGAGAGAGAGAGAGAGAGAGAGAGAGAGAGAGAGAGAGAGAATTTTTAATATTCATTTTTTAGTTCTTGGCGGACACAACATCTTTGTTGGTATGTGGTGCTGAGGATCGAACCCGGGCCGCACGCATGCCAGGCGAGCGCGCTACCGCTTGAGCCACATCCCCAGCCCCTTAAGTTCACTTTTTATATTAAATAAGTATCTAATATTTTAAACCACACTTTCCCATTTTTCCTTATGAATATTTAAAAATTAAATCTTGATTTAATATAATGTTGCAACCAGTAATTATATCATAGTCTTATTACAAGTCAAAATTTCACACCTCTTATAAGAAAATTGGATCAAGGTTCTGCTTGTATTAAGGAGCAAAACCTTAAAATGACCTACCTTATGCCAAAATTTAAAGAATGATCCCTACCTCAAAATCCAAAAAGTGTATTAAAATGGAAAATATTTTACAATTATAGGGTCACATTATCTGGAACCCTTAAGGCYAGATGAGTTTCACAGTTCAGAATTTCTTGGATTTTACGAATATAATGTTGTATAAACATCTATAATCAAAAAGTTAGTACATATCCATAGTCAATGACTATGATGTAGTACAACACTCATAATCAAACAYAACATTTCTGCAGTGAAATTAAAAATTTCATTTTAAATGAGATAAACACTATAAATTAYCTGATGTCAATTAAGATCAAGTTTTATGGTCAAACAAGTTAGGACAGACATTTTGGTTTTTAGAACTACTTGGATTTTGGAATTATGAATGAGGGACTATAGCTCTGAATTAATTAACTACATTCTTTTAATTTTAGTGACTCTCAAAAGGAACAAATTATTTTAAAGCTAAAATAATAGATGCTAAGGAATGAAACAACTCATTTTATCTGTCTTGGAAAAAAGAATGTGGATCATGATAAAAACAACAGCTCATTTGTGAATTTGGCTTTTTTCTTCCCAGTGCTCTATAAAATAAAGTTTCCCACATTGGAACATACAGTTTGGTTGACCAGATTAAAGGAAACTTACCTGCAAGTAGCAAGCCTACTATTTCCCTTGGATTTGGCTCTTCGGTGGACTTGTGAGTGCTAGACTATCGGGCTCAGGAATGTTGTCCTTATTAGGTACTTGGAAGACAGGGCTGCTTTTGATTTTGTGCCACCCCAAATGTATGAGCCCGATTAAAGGTACCATAACAATCAGAACTTTGTAGTCTCTCAAGAAGTTCTGAAAGGTCATAGTCCTTTGGCATCAGTGTACCTAGGAAAAGATTACAAAACAGACTCCTCAAATCGAATCTACAAACCACTACAAGCACTACACAGCACACCAATAAGAGATGACTTAAACAATTTTAGTTATAATATGTAAAAGAGATATATTGTAGACACAAAGGGATATCAGTAACTCAGGATGGGGAAAYATACAAAGCAATTCTTAACTTTTAGTCAATGACATTATCAGCCGAGAAAGATACATACACCTTTTAATTTAATTAATTTTTGATCCATTGGGGATCAAACCCAACATTGCGCTGTWGGGCAAGTGTTATAACACTCAGCTCTCTCTTGACTCTTATTTTTGTTTTTCATAATTATGTTCAGTCACAATTTTGAACAGAATAGTYAACTTCTTAATCTTTAAACATGCAGTAACAGGGGCTGGGATTGTGGCTCAGTGGTACAGCACTCGCCTAGCACAGCTGGGACCCGGGTTTGATCCTCAGCACCACATAAAAATAAAGGCATTGTGTTGTGTCTTTCCACACCTAAAAAATAAATTAAAAAACAAACAAACAAACAAAAATGCAGTAACAGTTTAGGTTCCCCACTGCAAAATGATTTAAGGGATGTTTCAGTGAGATTAGAATGACTAAGTACAGATTCCAATTGCAGCAAAAAACCCTGCTTTGGGAGCTCTGAATCAGAATGAATTAATGTTATGTCCACACTTAGGTATTCAACCACTGCATTTTAGAATGTTTGCCATGAACTACTAGTTACTATCAAACCAGTTTGCACAAGATATTGGGGCTAGAAAATTGTCTTGTTATATAAAGCCAGTTGGTATTTAAAATAGATTTTTTTCTTATCTTTGATTTGGAAAGCATGGTCCAGAAAAGCTCTGTTCTGAAATCTGTTCATTTTTGTGAACTCAAGTCCAGATAACCTTTAAAGCTTCYTTACACTTTTATATTTAAGGGGCACTCATTAGTGACTACCTTATAGATTGTGATGATACAAATGGTCTCATTCTTCAAATTTCTTYTTAAGCCCAGAAGGATACAGCCTGTTCCATCCTGTGGGTCATGCCAAAAATTTGCTTCAATTGCACCTATGAGTTATTTAGTATAATGAAATCTCCTAAATTACTATACRTTTTGTATAAATGTCACTAGAAAAATGTCTAAACAGAATTTCTATTTATTTAATAATACTTAAATCAGTATTAAAATACAGTAGTACTGAGYTAAAAAGCCTGAACTGTGTTCTGTGTATTAAAAATAAACAGAAGGCTGCAAGCATTAKGCTTATAAACAAACATATTATTCCCAGCAACAGAAAACATTTCTCCCCAAGGTCTAAATTCACATATTGTAAGGATTCTGCTGCTAAACTTAAAGCACTAGATGAAGAAAACATGACCTACTTTGAAACTGAAAGTATTTTATATGGCCTTTCCGTTTCTAAAGTGCTCTGGTATCCTGAAAACTTTAGGGTCTATACCTTGTGTGTGTGTGTGTGTGTGTGTGTGTGTGTGTGTGTGTGTGTGTATGAAGTGGGGGGATTACCAAGGATTAAACTCAAGGTTGCTCTACCACTAAGCTACATCCATGGACCTTTTTAAAGTATTTTGAGGCAGGGTCTTGCAAMCTGCTCAAACTTGTGGTCCTCCTGTCTTAGTCTCCCTAGTAGCCAGGATTGCAGATGTGTGCCACTGTCCCCAGATTGAGACTATATCTTTTATTGCTAAAATTATGTTTCATTTTTGGAGGAAATCAATCATAAATACCTGTYTTATGATGAATTTGATTGTGAAGCCCACTGTGCAAACATCTTTATACAGTGTCTGAGATTTGATAATAATACAATAACTGGGAGAGGGAATTAGGTAACTTGGAGTAATGAGGGAGGAATTCTAATAAGGTTTATTTCCTAAAGGAAGGACAAGGGCTGCACTAAAGTCAAATGGCTTGTGTTGACTGACATGTGACATTCTGGTCCACAATGTACAYTGAACTAAAGGTCTAGAAGAGAATGCCATTGTTTGGATAGGTGTTTCCCAAATGCCCAATTGCTAAAGGTTTGGCTGCAGGCCTATCATGCTAATGGAGAGTGCTAGAACGTTTAAGAGGTGGGGCCCAGTGGAAGGAAGTTAGTTTTTCACTAGCTAGGGCCCTTGAAGGGGCCCCTGGGACCCCTGCCTCTTTCCTGCTCTGCTTCCTGGTCACCATGAGATGAGCAGCTTCCTCCACTATATTCTTCCACAATGATGTACTGCCTTGCCACAGACACACGAGCAATCAACCAACCAGTCTGAACCTCCAAAACTGAGAGTTAAAATAATCCTTTCCTCCTTATAAATTGATTAATCTCAGGTATTTTGTCACAGTGATGGAAAGCTAACAGAGACACTTCATTCAAATCCAGTCTTCTCAGTACTCAAGATGTCTTTAGCACCTCTGCCATTTCAAAATGAGGTTATAAAGCCACATTACTTTTAACTGATGACATCTCTGCTATTCACCATTTACTTCTCCATGATCACTAACATTATTCCAACATCTGTYAGTTTTTTTCTCTGAAAATCATAAGCTTTTAGAAAAGCAGCTTACAAAAAAAAAAAGTTTGGTCAAAGGATATAATTATAAAATAGGGACTAATAAACTCTAAATTTCAGAATGAATTAAACTCCTATTTATAACAGCAATATTTGTAAATGTTTGCTGTTCTCTATATAGAGATCATAGTATGATGTGATRTATTGTGACCCATCCTTGATAAGAGTGAGAGTGGGGTATCAGACTAGGATCAAGTTAGCCCCCATATTCTGGATATTTGTGAGTTAAAGACAAAAGAGGTAATATATTTTTATGTACACTGTGTTTAATAGACATATTTTCTTTCCATCTGGACAACTTGAGGAGCTATGTATCCTTTATGAGATTTAGATTTAGTTAAATCTAGGAATTACTACCTATTGTGGTTGAAAACTATTTGTCAAACACCACTGAGGCCCATACAGCACTTCCGGGTTACTAATGACTGATTTAAGATTAACTGCTTTAATGTTTACTGAACACCTACGTGTTCTCATTTCCTTGATCTCACATACTGATTTGGTTAATGGAGGTGAGAGAGCAGGAAACTATTTTCTGACAGATTATCCTGTTGTCCTTTGAGAGGTTTAAAAAATGATTAGGATCAGAATAGAGCTTTTTATTTTACAAAGTCCTTTTAGAGTCTTTGCATTTAATCCGCATAAAGAATATGAATACATACTAGTTCATCCCTGCCCAGCAAGGTGGAACATGCACTCTTTTAAAATGGCACTGACATGTAACTTACTACTTTACTTCCCTGAACAGCTTCCCAGCATATTATGTGTCTTCTATTGCCTGAGTAAGGCTCACAGCTAGTTTTARGAAAAAGGCAATATAGTTCTAAAATTTCATATTGGATATGGGAGTGAGGAAATGTGTGATTCATTTTGTCCATAACCTCTTGTGGAGCTTTTACAATCAAACACATTTTGGGGATGCAATTTTAACACTATTTCTTCTCAAATTTTCTTTGGGTTTTTTCAAAATGAAAATTGGCATTACTGCCCTTTTCTAATATTATAGGCTTACTTTTTAAAATTAGTAAGTAAGGAAAAGGAATAAGGAAATAAGAAAAAGAAATCTAAAATCTTTTTGGTTTAAAAAAGGGAATCATGTAGTTCACTGGTAGAGCATTTGCCTAGCATGTGTGAGGCACTGGGTTCAATCCTCAGCACCTCATATAARTAAATGAATAAAATAAATGTCCACCAGCAACTTAAAAAAAAGGAATTATAACATATATATTGTTTTGTAATCTTTTCTTCTCAACTTCATTATCATTTTTTATTGCTGTACAGCATTGGCTTCTATGGAGATAGCCTAATTTGACCAATTCCTGTTGACAAATATTCTTGTAAATACTGATCTTCACTACATGCTGCTTTTCAGGATAATTTTTTCAGGATAATTCAAAGAGTTAACAGATTTTTWAGCATTTTTTAAAAAATCAGTTATAGATGGACACAGTATCATTTATTTATTTTTATGTGGTACTGAGGATTGAACCCAGTGCCTCACATGTACAAGGTAGGCACTCTACCACTGAGCTACACCGCCAGCCCAAAAGGGTTTTTTTTTTTTTTTTTTAAATCTTCTTCTTCTTATTATTATTGGTGGGTTTTTTTTTTTTTTTGTGTGTGTGTGTGTGTGTGTGTGTGTGTGTGTCTTTTCTGGAACTGGGGGTTGAACCCAGGGCTTTGTGAATGTAAGGCAGACACTTTGCCACTGAGCTACATCTCAGCCCTAACTTGTTTTTAAAATGGACTTGACAAAAGGTTTTAAAAAATCTTGACTTTTACCAAGGTTCATAGTGCTGAGCATCAAGGAGACTGGGAGATCCAATTTGGGAAACAAACTTAAAATACATACATTTTACCTTGAGAGTCCTTCCCTCAAAACACTTGGCCAGTCATTCCAAGTGGTGTGGAACTAGCTTACGGATATAAGCTAGCTCAGAGATTCCTGAGTTTGAAACAATTTAAGAATCTGCTTATAGTGAATGATCTGTTTAAAGAGCAATAAAAAGGCTACTCCCTAAAATAAGTCATTTCAAGAGAATGAAGTGAGATGGATAAATCTTAAGTCAAGCAACAAAGGGCAGACATTATTTTAGTCATTGAAATGCCTTTTGTTAGGTTTAGACAAAAGTTTAGAGACAATCTTCATTCAGATTATGCTTTTTAATACCTTTCTCTCAAAAATACACATCATGCATTATTCAAAAAGTTTCATATTCATTTTGTTTTGTTTTCATAGCAACTTTGTGAAACCAGAAGACCATTTTATAAATGAGGACTCACTAAATGATTGACTCTAGGATTACTGTCAATTAGTTGTGGCACTCAATTTTGGTTCTGGGATCTTAAAAGGCTCAACTGATATTCTATTAAATAGTTCTCAAAAGTCAAACATTAGCATCCTGTCAGGCACAGTGGGGGTGGTGCACACCTGTAATTCAAGCAGGAAGCTGAAGCAGGAGGATCACAAGTTTCAAAGCCTGCTTCAGCTACTTAGTGAGGCCCCAAGCAACTTAGTGAGAACCTGTCTCTAAATAAAATATTAAAAAAGATGGGGGATGTGGTTCAGTGGTTGAGCACCCCTGGGTTCAATCCTCAGAACCAAAACCAAATGAACAAATAAAACAACAACAAAAAATTGCATCTCAGCCTGACAGTACAGTCTCAGAATTTCCAGGGCATGATGAGGACAAGAACATCAGAGTATGTGGTGGACACTTGTGAGGTCACTGAGGTCAACTAGCCTAGCATGTCAACCTGGCATATTCTGATTCTCATGCCAAGTATGTCAGTGTTCTTAACAGTGGTCTCATGTCACCTGTTCAAAATTAGAGGACAACAGTGTCCAGATCCTCCAGAGTTAAGATTAGCTGGGCTGTTTAGCTCATTTTCTTTAGCTTAGTTCTCAACACAGAATGGACAGGAAGATGTTAATGAACCTAAGGGGAGGAAGCCTGCTATACCTCCAACTCATTACAAATGCTGCAATCTTTTTGAGTACTTACAAACTTAAAGGTCAAGAAAAGAAAATATTGAGACTTATACTTTCAACCATATTCTCTTTTTTCTTTCCTTTCTCTTTTTGTTTTTGGTGTGTGGTGATGGATATTGAGCCGGGGTAGGGCTAAACAAATGCTAGGTAARTGTTCTATCATTAAGCTAAACCCCAGATCATATTCTTCCTTTAATTCATTTCTAAGATGACAACTTCTCCTTTCCCTAGTTTGCACTAAAGAGATTACTGCTTCTTCAGTTTCCATCATTAGGGTCTCTGATGAGTYTTCTGGAATCTGTTACATTCTAAGCTAAATCAAGTTTTTCAGGTGACAAAACTGGATAGTAAGGTAAAGGGCAATAAGCAGTTATGCTTCCTTGAAAATCTCAAACAGCTGGCTCTAGGTTGTCAGATTACTCTTTCTATGTCGCACAGTGTCAAATCCATCAAGTTTTATTATTTCT